ACTTGATTTGCTAATTTTTGAGAGCAAGTTGGAGTAAAAAGTTTTCCACCATTATGATTTGCGTTAGAAATACTAATCAGTCAAAGCATAAATATTGTAAAATATACAAAAATGAACAGTATAATGTAATGGGATTATAGTCAAATGATCAATTTTTTTTTACATACATAGACTTCCTCCAATAGACCAAGATAAGGAGGAAGTGGTGGAGAAATGTTCGACGAAAAGAAGAGTTGTGGCAGTGGCAGGTGTGTTTACAAAGGTGGCGAGAAGGTCAAATCCAGAGGTAGTTCCGAATGGGGGACTGCCCAATCAATAATGCAGCTTTTTAGTTGGAATTGTCGGGGTTTGGGACGGTTTTAGGACTCGACAATTCCCGGTCTTAAGGAGATACATAAAATATATTTCCCTGAGATAATGTTCTTGATGGACAAAGAAAAAGAAAGATATGGTGGTAGATTTGAAATAAGTTTGAATGTGATAGAATGATGGTGGTGGATCCTATTGGTTTGTCTGGAGGTTTGGCAGTAATCTGGAATCAGGATGTGGGTTTGGTGGTTAAGTTTGCTGATAAAAATGTTATTAATTGTCGGATTTCATACAGAGGTCATAGCTTCTATATTTCTTTTGTCTATGGTGAGACGAGTTAGAAAGACAAAAGGAAAGTATGGGAGAGATTAATGAGGCTTGGTTCTGGAAGGAAAGAAAGTTGGGAAATGGTGGGTGATTTCAACGAAATTTTACACAATGGTGAGAAGATTGGTGGCATGAATGGAAACGCAGCGTCTTTTGAGGAGTTTGTTGAAATGCTCAATGTGTGCGGGATGAAGGAACTTGGAGGTTCAGGTGATAGTTTTACTTGGGCTTGGGTGAGATACAAAAAGTACATCCAGTGTAAATTGGATCGCTGTTTTGGTAATAATCAGTGGAGGAATGTGTTTTATAGAGCTTCCCAGACTTTCTTGGAGAGGCTTGGGTCTGATCATAGACTAGTGATGGTTAACCTTTTCAACGAGAATGATAAAAAGGTTGCTTTTCACTTTGATAAAAGAATGGTGGGAAAAAACAAAATGGTGGAAACAATTGGTGACGCTTGGAAAATGGCTAGTGGTGAGAAAAATCTATCTATAATGGAAAGTTTTGGGGGGGAGGTGAGGAAGTCTTTGGGGAGGTGGAAATGAAAGAATAACCTTAACTCTAATGAGCGACCGCAGAAGCTTCGTCATGAGCTAGAGCTGGAAACATCTTCTTTGGCGATGTGTTGGGATCGCGTGTCTGAACTAAAAGTAGAGATTGGTCAAGCTTTCAAAGAAGAGGAAGACTTCTGGAAGCAAAAAACAGAGATAAATGGTTGGTGGTGGGAGATAATAACACAATTTTTTTCCATGCTTCTGTTAAGGCAAGCAGGCAGAAGTATCAACTAACTAAACTTATTGATAATGAGGGTAGGGAGTCATCGTCGAGTTCTCAAATGGGAAGATAGCCACATATTACTTTGATAAGCTATTTGTGACATCTGGTCCAGGTGATGTTATGAGTTTCTTCGCTGGCATGGAGAGTCGGGTAACAGAGTCCATGAACCAAACCTTGATAAAGGAGATATGCGACGAGGAAATAAGAGATTCGATTTTTTTTATTAAGCCGTCGAGTTCCCCAAGAAGCGATGGAATGAATGGTCTTTTCTTCCAAGAATACTGGGATGTTAATGGTGTGGAGATAATGAAAGAGATAAGAGTCTTCTTCCATACCGGTGTCTTCCCAATAAAGTGGAACTTTACTCAGACATGCTTAATATCGAAGATCATAAACCCCATCAAAATGATCGATTTGAGACCAATCAGTCTGTGCTCGGTTATGTATAAGATAATTGCTAAGATACTGGTGGCACGTCTGAAACCTTTCTTGGAGCTCATTGTATCGCCTAATCAATATGCTTTTGTTCCTGAAAGATTAATAACCGATAATATTATCATTGCACACGAGATGGTGCATGGGTTGAGAACTCATGAAAGGATTGCAAAGGAACACATGGCAATCAAGACGGATATGTCAAAAGAGTATGAACGGATCGAATGGAACTACTTGGAGGGTTTGATGTCTGCTTTAGGTTTTCACACCAAGTTTCGGGATTGGATCATGTTCTGTGTACGATCTGTATCCTATACGGTTCTTATCAATGGTGAACGCAGGGGAAGGTAATGCCAGAAAGGGGTCTCAAACAGGGGGATTCTCTGTCTCCGTTTCCGTTTGATCCGTGTACATAGGATCTTTCGCACCAGTTAAATGAGGCTGAAAAGGAGAGGTGAGATCACTGGCATACAGTTTGCAGAGAGTGGGCCAGCGGTACACCATCTTCTCTTTGCTGATGATTCGTTATTGCTGATCAAAGCGACAGAGGAAGAGTGTACGAAGTTGTCTCAGGCCAAATGATCAACTTCAGAAAGTCGGCTATTACTTTTGGTAACAAGGTCGCAAATGATATGAAAGTTAAGATAAATGAGCTAATTGGAATTATCAATGAAGGAGGGACAGGGAAGTACTTGGGTTTTCCGGAATGTTTTAGTGGTTCAAAGGTAGAGATGCTGCAGTACATTCATGAGAAGATGACTGTACGATTTAAAAGCTGGTATGCTTTCTTTCTCTTTACGGGTAGCAAAGAAATCTTGTTGAAATCAGTGGTTACGACAATGCCAATTTTTGCCATGTCTGTGTTTATATTGCCAAAGACGACGTGTCAAAACCTCACAAGTGCTATGGCAAATTTCTGGTGGAATGCATAGAAAGCTATAAACAAGATGCATTGGATTTCTTGGGAAAGAATGTGCCTGGTAAGGAAAATGGTGGTTTGGGTTTTAAAGACTAAGAAAAATTCAACCAGGCTTTGTTGGGAAAATAGGGGTGGCGCCTGCTTATGAATTCTGATTCTCTATGTGCCAGAATTGTGAGAAGTAGATACTACCCTAATGGTGAGTTTGTAAGTGCAAAAGTTGGTCCTAGACCTTCATATGCATGTAAAAGTATTCTCTTTGGTCGAGAGCTGTTGGAAAAAGGTTTAAGGTGCAATGTTGGATCTGGAAAAAGCATTAAAGTCTGGACGAATAAGTGGCTTTTTGGTACTGTACCGGTAGCACCGATGAGGAAAAAAACCATTTTTGATCTAGAGTTAAGGGTGTGTGACCTTATTAATCCCCAAACTAAATATTGGGACCGAGGGAAATTGGAGGAGGTTTTTTTTAGAGTGATATTGAGCTAATCATGAAGAGAAAGCCGGATTTTGGTAAGGAGGATTCCTATGAATGGGTACATAACAGATGGGGGCGTACTCTGTTAAGTCCGATTACTGGTTGGCTTGTTCTCTTGATCTTTTTGAAGTAAGAGCTGAAGAAGTGTGTAAGCCATCTCTCAACGATCTACGAAGCCAAGTGTGGGAGATCAAGACTTCCCGAAGATAAAAAATTTCTTATGGAAGTCCTTATCAAATGCGTTAGCTGTGTCGGAGGAGTTACTGGCAAGTGGGATGAAGGTGGATCCTCGTTATCCAAGATGTGGGAAGGTAGGAGAATCTATTAATCATGTGTTGTTCTCATGTCCAGTGGTTCGCTAGGTGTGGGCAACGTCTGGGTTCCTTTTCCCACAAAGAGGCTTTGAACATAGATACTTATTCAAAAACTTTAGCTACCTAATGGCTGTGGGGAATGATATAGAAGTGACGAAGGAAATACGTAACAGTTACCTTTGGATCCTTTGGTTGCTGTGGAAAAATAAAAATACTTTTATCTTCGAAGGTAAGAAGTATAAAGCAGAGTCTACTGTTACAAAATGTTTAGAGGACTCTAAATGGTGGTTTGAGGTGGTGGAAGTCTCCAAAATCAATGATGATGGAAGAACGAGAAGACATAGAGTTGGAAAGGTTTGGAAGGCACCTGAGAGGAAGAGAGTGAAATGCAACATTGGGATCTCTTGGTAAAAAAATACTGCTTTGGCTGGAATGCGTTGGTTGGTGAGAAATAGTGAGGGCGTTACTTTGTTTCATAGTAGGAGAGTTTTTAGTGGAGTTGCGTCTATTTTAGAGGTTAAAAGATAAGGTCTAATATGGGTAGCGAAGAGTATAATATCTCATAGAATGCAGAAGGTGACTTTTAAGATTGAAACTTCGGATTTAGTAGGAGCCGTTAATCGTCAAAAGATCTGACCTGCATTTAGGACATATGGTGAGGAGCTAAAAGAGATGTTGACAAAAATACCAGAATGAAAGGTGGATGTAACTTGTAGATATATTAACAGAACATGATTGCTAAGAGTGTAAGAAAGGAGAGAAGGTTTCAGTTTTATGTCACCCAAGGAAATCTTTCTTGGTTTAGAGATTTGCTTGCGGTGGAAATTTTGAGTAACAAATAACAGTTAATGGTTATTTATGGGTGCAATTGGGGTGTGTTTCTTTTGGTGACGAGAGATGTCATGTTTTAGGCCTTATGTCTCTCTGTTCCTTGTTTTGTTTCTTGATGTTTTAGTTTGGAACAATTATGTTTGAATCCCATGAGTTAAAAAGAAAGGACTTCCCCCAATAATAATGAAATACTAGGAAACTAATTATAATAGATGACTTCATATATGAGTATTTTGAATGGTGGTACATAATTATTTTACTTTTATGATTCTATTTTTATCTACTATGTAAAAAACTAAAATACCACTAATCTACTAAAGTTTTCTAAATAATTAATTAACGGAAATTATATTCAGCTTAACTATTTATGTTAATTGACTTTTATATAATTTCTCTCTTGTGGCTTGCAAATCAAATCCAAAAGAAAATAGAATCACATGTTTAAAATTTGAAAATAGCATATACCATTTGAGAATATATGATTAATAAAACTTAAATCATGGTCAATCTCAAGTGTTATGGTAATAATACATATCATAAAATTAAGGAGTTATAATCACAACAATTTCATAACTGCTTCAATCATTCTCCATAATAATATCATAATCTCCAATAACACCACCATTCATCACGGAGCGCTCGCTTTTGGTTTGCCTTACTGGTTTCTACGTCTCCACTCGACAATGGCTGCATGAAGAGTGTTATTGGGCAAAAGGGTCATGTTTTCTAAGGGTGAACCAGTCACCGGCGAGCTACGGTGCTCCTCCATCCACTTCTCTATGGCTTTCCGATCATAAGTGTATCCGTCAGCCGCAATACATGGATCCTTTATCACATCCTGCAAACATCATAACAACATTCTTTTCTCTAAACCAACCTGAGACTTGTTTAGCAAGCAAAACGGATGACGTGATGAACAAGTTATATATTACCTTAAGTAATGGGCAGATGAAGTGGGTAGGAGGTTGCTTCGGCGCAGAGGTAATCATTTTCCTTGCTTTTTCAGCAACCTTCTTCAAGCTCTCTAATGTTGGAAGAATCTGTTTTTCCAGGTCTGGCCTGTCTTTAGCTCGGATCTCTGTACAGTGTAGGGCTAACGCAGCTAGTTTCCTGGTTTCTTCCATTGGCCAGTCACCTGCTTTTTTATCAAGAATTTGTATCAACTCTTCATCGTCATTGTTCTCCATGGCTATTTCTACTTTATAGGTCAGTGCTATAGCCGGCTGAGCTGTAAGAAGCTGGAGAATAATCATTCCCAAGGCATAGACGTCTGACTTTGTAGATAACATCCCGGTTCGTTGATATTCGGGATCGATATAACATAATGTTCCCACGGGACTTGTCTGTTTGTACATTGTGAACTTGGTTGATAATATGTCGTTTTGGATCATTGTGGAGAGACCAACATCTCCTACTTTACTAACGAAGTTGCGATTGAGAAGGATGTTGGCTGGTTTAAGATCACGGTGGATGATTGGCGTTGGTTTTGATTTGTGGAGGAAGACTAGCGCTGAAGCGACTTCCCAAGCGATTCTGAAGCGTACGAACCATGGGAGTGGCTGGCTATTGTTGACTTGGAATAGTCTATCTTCCAAGCTACCGTTTTCCATGTACTCGTAGACTAGAGCTCCACGCTCACGGCATGCTCCTAATAGAAGAACCAAGTGTGGATGCCTGATCTTGCTCAAGATCTCGAGCTAAGAGAGAATGAAAGCGTCAGTTTTTTTTCTTTCTTTAAAGAAAGGAGAAAAACGTTTTTTGGGTTGTATAAAGTACCTCTTGATCGAACTGCTTGGATAGATTACTTTCAGGGGAATGCAAAACTTTGACAGCGGCGACTGTATGGTGAAGACTGCATTTGTAAACAGCACCGTAAGCTCCTTCTCCGATCTTAAGATCTTGAGAGAATGATGAAGTTGCGGTAGTGATTTCTTCCCAAGTGAACTCTTGATATTGCACCTTAGGAGCCACAAGGGAGCTTTCTACAAGCTTCTCCTTCTCTTTGGCTTCTCCAAGGGCGGCTACTTTCATCTCGGCTTCTCTTCTCTGTGTGGTCTCTTTCTCTTCCATTCTCTTCTGCTGTGTTTCCTTTTCTGCTAAACCTTTTGTTCCCTGCTCTTGCAGTGTTAGCTCTTCCAACTTTAGCTCATTTAGCTGAAACCAATAACAAGAAAGATTTTATTAGCCAATATCAAATATACACTTTATCCATTTTTTATTTCCTAGAGATTCTTTAGGTGCGTGTACCGTTCGAGAAGCATCCAAGGTCTCTATTTGAGCCACTGCATACATTTTTTGAGCTTGTCTAAGTTCATCTCTCAACTTTGTAATTTCTTCCAGTGTGTCCTGAAATCAATGGAAAGAACTTCTCATTTGCAAATGCACAAAAGGTTTAAATAACTTCCTAATGGAAAATTTAGCTTACCTGGTCGTCTGTGAAATAATCTTCACCTTGACTAGTAACATTTTCATATTCAGGGTTGCTAGAGATATGACTCATACCGTCTTTTCTCTCATCGGAATCTCGAGACACGGTATGCGATGTTTCAAGGCTACTTATCTTGCTTACTTCCTCTGCAGCATCCGAACTTCCAGTTTCATCTGAGTCAGTTTCCCCACGACCAGAAACCCCTCTTACTATTGTTGGGAGATGTTGCAATCTCTTATTGGACAGAGCAAGAGACTTGGATTTGAGTGCATTTGTTGACGACATTGCATCTACAAAAAGAGAAAAATTGAATACAATATTACAATCATGCATTACATAATTTTTATATGTGCTTAAAAAGCTCCAAACCTGAGATAGTCCCTGAACCAGAAGAACAGCTAGAGCTTCTATCACTACCAGTATCTCTTAAAGTTTCATTCCTATCTGTGTCTGAAGTTGAAGCTGAAGCTAATTTCTCTTTCGAAAGAACATAGACTCCTTTTGAGACAACATAGACTGTGCAAAGGTTTGACACATAGTGTGCTATCATTGCGGTAATATCATTATTCCCGTACAAGCCAACATTACATGACCGTCCAATAACAAGCATGCTGATCGAATGTTGATTAACCTCTCTGGTTATTGCCACTGCAACACTATTTGATTCTATCACTAGAAGTTCCACTCCAACCTTTTTTTTTCGGTTAAGAAAGATTCAAAACGAATGAGTTTCATCCATCTTTACCTATAAGGTATCTAATACATAAAGGAAGACAAAAGAAAAATAACCTTTTTACGCTCACACATCTTCTTGTAAGGTTTCAGAAGAGTTTCTTTAGTCTCCTGCATAACTTGTCGCCTATAGGTAACCGCCACATCCTCTGGTGCCTCAGTGATAGAGACTATGCTTCCGGCTTATTAACGGAACAGAAACGGGAATCAGGCTCTTAAGTAGTCACATAAAGTGGTTCCCAGGTAGAGAAGAAGATCTTTGGAACTTACAAGGTGTAGGTATAGAGGTAAGCTTTGGATGGATGTGAATCAGCTTGAAAACGATATTTTTCTCGGAAGCAAACTTCTTGAGCGCCCACTTAAGTACATTCTTGCTTTTGGTGCTACCACTAATGGCTACTGCAATGGTCAACGATTTAGAAGGAGACGCTTGATTAGAACCGGCAAGCACCGGCTTGGGTTCCAGATACGAATTTTTGAAAAAGAAGTCCATTTATTTCTGAAAATTATCCTCTTTTTTTTTTTTTTTATGTCAGGGGCAGCTCTGCGCAATATGTTCTGCGACGGTTCTAGTCGTCTCTTATCTGTGTCTGAAAGAGATCAAAGTCATTTACAACTGAAATAAAATCAAGATCTTTTGGTTTGGGAGGACAAAGGAACACTAGACAAATTGGTATCACATTGCTCAATAAAGAATGCAAACTTTTTAGCAAGATCTTTGATTTCTAACAGAGAAGGCATGAATTAGTTGTTATCAAAGATCAAAATTTTAATCTGGACTAGTTGTTATGACAAAAAAAAAAAAACAACATTCCAAAGTCAAATTAGATATTGTAGGGACTGGTCTCAAGACTCTCAACAGATATAGAAAGACTATGAACGTGAATTGTTTTTTATATAACAAAATGTATGATGCGAGCACATAAAAGTTTTGAACTTTACCAGAAACCCATCAAGCCAAGCATATGATTATATAATCTCTAATAACCTGGGAAAAAAACATCACAGATTTGACCAACCTGATCAATAGAAGATATATGTAGCCCGGAGCGGTAAAGAAACTCAAACCTAAAGAGAAGTTGTGGTAGGCTCCCGCAATTTGACATCTTGAAGTTGAATGAGCGATGGAATCTTGTATTCTCACAGAGGCAACGCAAAGAGCAGCCATGCACGTTCGTGCTCCCAATTTCAGAGACAGTCACGTCCTTTGATTAAACCACATCATCTTATAAATTTTTCTTCAAATTTTATAACTATTTACTTTGAAACAATGTTTACTCATTTATATTTACTACTCTTTTACTCACGCAAGAATTTTCCTTCACTATCAAAGCGACATAGAAAAAAGGCTCTTTATATACACGTCGAAGCTTTTACAATTCGTGTTGTTTTCTTTAACTTCAAGGGTTTTGATTCCTTATAATATTTAAGCGTTGTCATATTGTCAACAAAAAATTGAGTTTTTGTTGTTTTATTTTTATGCACTCCTCAACAGTCTTATGAATGGACAATTTGCTAACTTTTACAAGTCTTTAGATTTTGAAAATGACTCTTTTTTGGAAAAAAATAATATGTTTTAACAGCTGGAAATACCTCAAAGTTTTTTTATTTAAATCAAACATTTAATTTTCCTATTTCAAAATTATATGGTATCATAGCATTCTATTGTTTTTATGACTCGGAGTATCCGAAATCTTATCTATTAAAATAAAAGTCATGCATCTATTAAAATAGAAGTAATAACTTATTTTATGTGTGATTTTTTAAAAATTTGGACCATCACTTAGAAAATTTATTAATTGTATTTTATTAAAACTAATAATATATAAGATCATTAAAATACTTTAATAATAATATTTTTTGATATATTTTCATTTTATACAAATATATTTATTTAAAAATACTAACAAATCTGTTTTAAAAGATTTTCACAAGATCTTTATTTTTGATATTATATTTAAATATTCTCAATAATTTCAAAACTAGTTTGAAATATTATTATACATTAAAATATTCAGTTAAAATTTATAAAATGGAAAATAGAAAAATATATCATATTTTATCTATTATATAATCATAATCAATCATATTAAAAGAAAATTATTATATTGAGCTAAATATAATAAAATTGTATTAAATTGAAAAAAATTATATACTTTATTTTCGTAAGTATAAAATATTTATGTTCAAAAATAAAATGTAATATGTTTTTTTTTTTAAAAAAAAAATCTAATATGTTGGTAAGACGTGTTAACATCAGCAAACTATATAATACATGTATATAAATTAACATGTATTTTATTAAAGCTAATAATATAAAAATTTGTAACTATTTTAATCATGATATATTTTCATTTTAACTGTAAATATATATATTTATATATTAAATTTTAAAAATTCTAATAAATCTGTGTAAAAATATTTTTACAATAACTTAATGTATTTTAAAATGAAAAATTTAAATTATCTCCTATTTTATTTATTTTATAGTCATAATCATCATATTAAAATGATAAATTTATAAATTTTATTTTTCATAAAAATAAAATATTTATTTTTAAAATATGATATGATGACAGAACGACTTAAAATTAGTAAACTATATAATACATGTCTAAAAATTAATATATCTTATACTTTTTATATACAATAATATATTATCTAAAATGAATGAACATAAAAAATATGGTAAAGGAAAACCTTGCTTTGAAGGACGGGTCAAAATTTACCATAAACTAAATACAAAATAATTTTCAAATATGTTTTCTCATGAATATATCAATTTGCTTAATAACTAAATACAAATACAATAAGATAAATATATGATACGAAGTGAGAAATACATATGGTTTAAAACAATTGATTAATATAACATGTAAATTATAAAATATTTTATTTGAAATAGTTATATAAACATTTAAGTATATGATTAACATTAAAAATATATACTATTTATGTTTTAAAACAAATATTTCTGTATATAAAAGTGAAACAACAACCGCGCAGTTGCGCGGATTAAAATCTAGTTGTACATTATAACTGAAAAATCTTAATTTTAGAAAATAACCAAACCCCATTCTCTCTCTTCATTTTTCTCTCTACCCTCTCTCTCTAGAAATTTAATTTTTATTTTTGGTTATTTTACCAATTCCCCCTTTTTTTAACATTTTACTGTTGGTACTGTTAGTTGTCTCATGTTACTTAACTATATATATGGGTCATAAAATACATGCACAAACGAGTGATAAATGATATTCATGCTAATGCTTATACAGATGCACTAACACATTACTTACGTATGATTGTAATGGGTTTGATTATATGTTCATTGGAAATATATACACCCTCAAGTACACAAACATATAACAAACGATAAATTTCCATTTATACTTGGTAATTAATGTAAATTATTATTTTATACTATTAAAAGAGAATTATTTAAAATTTTACCATAAAAATTGTTAGAACCTATTATTCATATTAATTAGACTTAAAATATTCCTTAAAACTATTTTTGTCTAACAATTAATTTTGTTCAAATATACTATCATTTTCATTATTTTTAATATCACTTCATTCTCATCAAATAACCCAATAGACATTGTTGATATCTGAAAAAAATGAAGGAGCTTAGCTATAAATGGAGAAAACTGAGAAGAGGAAACGACATTCACAAATAGCATGAGCATTCGGATATGGATACTATCCATTCGGGTATCGTTTTTTTTTGGGAATTTAGAAAATGGTCTCATCCGAATATTACAAAGAACCGAGTCGAGTTCGAGTCGGATCCTCCTGGATCTAGGTGGGTTCGGGTTTTATCCGAAGTAACCAAACTATTCGATTCCACTCGGATATTTTATATCCATACTACTCAAACTTATCTAAAATAACTTAAAAACCTGAAAATAATTAATTTATATAGTTCAAATTGGTTATTTTTATCGGAAAGTAACCATATATATAATGTTATTTGAGTATTTTTATCCAAAACATCTATTTTATCTATAAATATCTAAAATAACTAATATATTTGATTTATAATTTTAATCTTAGGTATTAATACTATTATAAATATAATTAAAAAATATTATATATATTTATATATTTGGATATGTTTGGATATTCATTTGATTTTTAGTATGGTCCAAATTCGGTTTCGATTTTTTGGATTTTTGAAATTGGTCCCGTTCGGATATTTAGGCAAGATCTGATCGGGTCGGATATTCTATTTTTTGGGTCGTTTGGATAAATACTTTGGGTATGGATATTATGCCCAGTCCTATTCACAAATATAGTTTTTTTTCGACGCAAGAACAAGAGTTTTTTCTGTCTAAACATTCTTTTTTTTTGTATAACATGCTAAACGTTCTTGCCAAAATCATTGCCTTTTTGTTAGTTCTTAATCTCTTTTGTTATAATCTCTTTCGATCGATAAATAAACTTCTTTTAAATAATTCACCAATGAATGCGCGCTTTGAACTTGTATAAGTCGAATTCATATTAAATCTCCCAACAAACGCACATTTTTTTGCACAGCGATACATCCAGTCATCAATGCATAAAACAAAAACTTCCGCTGATTTGATCGAATAATACACGTACGAATGGCACTAGTCTTTTCGAATCATTGGGTTTAAGAAAATCTACTAATCAAAGAACAATATACAAAAACTTTAGTTTATTTAGGTCCTGTTTTCTGTATTTAATGCAGCAGTTAGATATTCCATCCAAATATTGTTCGTTTTTATAGTTATTATTTGTATCCAGATGCAATATCTAAATGTTAAGTTGTTTGTCTTTTTATTTCATAATAGCATTTGAATAATATTGAATTGATTATAATATTCAAAATTATTTTATATTTTTTGCGGAAAATACAGTGTTGCAGATTTTGATGAAAAAGTTAAATTTGTGATTTTAATGAAAATATATAATTTATGATTTTTGTGGGAAAAAGCGTGTTTCCGATTTTGGCAAAAAAATGTTTTTTTTTGAATTTGGAGGAAAAAATACATTTTTGGATTTTGGTTTGAAATTGCATTTTTTCGATTTTGATGGAAGACTTGTTTTCTGTTTTTTTTTTCTTTGCGGAAAAACGCATTTTCAAAATTTTTGATGGAAAAACACATTTTTGAATTTTGGTGGAAAAAATATTTTTTTATTTATTTTGGAAAGAAACATATTTTTTAATTTTGACTGAAAAACACATTTTTGGATTTTGACGAGAAAATTTTTTTTTTCTGATTTTGGTGGGGAAACACTTTTTCAGGTTTTGGTAGAAAACGTATTTCTTCAAATTTTGGTGATTTATGAGGTTTTCGGGTTTGATGGAAAATTGTAATTTTTTATAAAATATTATATAGCATTTAATTAATTTTTATATTTTTATCAAAGGTATTTAGATCTTTTGGATTTTAACAACTAGTGTAACATTATTTTTTTTTTTTACCTTATCAAATATCTAGATGTTATAGATGTCCGATCCAGATG